TATATTGTCTATGGAACCTTTCCCTATCGTTCTTGCACAAGTTTGACTAAGATTAGATTCAAATTGAGTTTATGAGCTGTTGCGCTGTTTATCAGCGTTTTATTTGGTTGCATTTATGGAGCGCCTCGGGAGTACATATGAAAATAAAAATACTGTATTCTAGCGGCAAGTCACACAGTTTCGACGTCTTGTTGTCCCTCGGCGCACCAGTCATCCTCACACCTCGGCTGGTACATCATGTCCGGATGTGCACGTTCACAACATCGGCGTGCAGTAGACATTGCTTTAGGATTTTGTTGACGTTACCGTAACCGATTGAGAGAAGAATCCCGCCGACACACAACCGACGACGACACGAGATATTTCGATTTGAACAAACACGTTGTGTGTCGAACAAGAAGTGCACTTTCGTGCATTAACAAACAACTGTGCAGCACGGTTGCTAGAAGGTGGTGGCGGCGCGAGGAGGATGGGGCGATACTGGTCGCGCCGCGCAAGAAGTGTATTTTGGTCGTTTGTTGGTGTCGGGAACGTCAACGGATGTTCGGGTTGGGAGCCGGATAACGACAAGTTTGGCCTACCTTTGGGTACGGAACCTTCGCTCTAGCTCATAAGTTTGGCCTTTCGTGAAGAGAACTCGTCGCTTCCGTTTCTTGCGCTTCCCTAAAAGGAACAGAACATAAGTCGAAAGTTCTGTCGCAGCTTGAAGTGACTATACCGTTCCCGTCATACTCCTCCTCGCCGTCCTCTTCCATTTCATCTGCGCCGTCATCTTCATCTTCGGCTTTTGATCTAAAATTACATCAGTAAGAATTGTCCACAACTAGGTAACTTCAAGCCTACCCATTCTTCTCATTTCCCTCCCCTTCCTTCTCTTCACTGCTTCCATTCCCCATTATCATTGGATCCGTCCTTTGGAATGGATCAGCAGGAGGCAAGGTATACATGGAACTTCCAGGCGTCAATGTTCCAGCAAAGTTTGTCGAGGGGTCATATGTGTACATCGAAGACTCTATGGAGAACGATGGCGCTG